TGGGGGGGGGGGGAGAGAAATGGGAGGGGGAGTGCTATAAAAGAAATGTAGGAATCTGAGAAATAATTAACAATTGTGATACAGCATTTCTGAGAATTATCCCGTCACAAGCTAACTAAAAATTGTTCCCTTCTACCCACAGAGATTCCTGGGTGCCCTGGAATGGTTGAAAGTTGAATGGGCAAAGAATATCTCACCCTTTGCAACTTGCAGAAGCTTGTGAAGAGATGAGTCCAAGTTCAGCCATATTTCTATCAGGATGGGAGAACTACACATTCCTTCAAAGAGGGATAAAGGAATGAGCGGGCGGAGTAAGCCAAGACTCCAGATTGTGAACCATGAGGAATCTGTAGTGAATGAATCTTTCTGGGGACCCAACTAAAAGAAACCAAATTCATCATGTGAAACTACTGCTTGAGATTGGATTGGTGGAACCTTTATAGTGCAATAGTGAAAAGGCTTTCATGGAGCTGAATAATATGAGTTTTCAGAAGCAGGGGAAGAGTTAAAACACTCTTTCACATCTCCACTTATCACCACAGGAAATCTCAAGGAACAGAAAGCTTGGGAATATGCTTTCCCATATTATTCTTAGTCTACTAATAAAAAGGACACGTAACATCAGGCTTTTTAGCGAAACTAGTGGAATGTTAGGATTGGAACCAGATCTTGGTGCAGCCCATGATAATCACAAGTTTAGGAAAACAGAAACAAAGCTCTGGAACTCATAAACAAGGAAGCACTATTAAAATGGCTTTACAATGCATTTTCAAACTAGTTTCTATTCTTGCAAGTCTTTAGAGAGCTATGTTGTACGACATAGTTTCAAAAACATTACTCAACATTTATGAACTTTTTAACCAACTTTTACTCAGTATCTGACAGAATCAACTTCTCCCTCAGTTTTCAGCGATAAAAACTTCTGTCCACTTTCCTCTAATGGATAACTGAAAGGACACGAATAGAAGACAGCTCTTCTCTCTTTCTCTTCCTTTCTATATGTATAAATGTTATCTCTTTCTCATCTCTTTCTCTCTACTTTTAAAGAACCAAACACCCTTTATATAGATCTTTTAATGTAAGTTTCCTTTCCTTTCCTTTCCTTTTCTTTCCTCCCC